TGAGCCACTGCTCACATTTATTTCTTTTGATATTAGTGATGGAACCCAGGGCCTGTGTGTGTAAGCTCACAGTATACCACTGAACTACACTGCAACCCCTATCTGGAAATTTTTGTTTGCTTATTGTCTTGATATGTATCCTAGTCTAGCCTAGAACTCACTGTGTAGCCCAGGCTGGCCTTACGCTCAGAATCCTCCTGCTTCTGCCTCCCAAGTGCTGGGACAGTGCTTTCAACAAATGGCACAGGGAAACCGGACGTCATATGCAAAAAAAGCCAAAGTGAACACAAAAACCTTATCTTATTACCACATACTTTAAAACTTAAGTCAAAATGCAGCACACTCCACACCGATGAGTCAGTTTCCAGGGATGAGCCTGGGCATGGTTCATGGCTCCCTACATTATCCCAACGTGCAACTTGGTGGAGAACCACAGATGTAGCCCCTGCGGCCAATGGAGCAGCATACATGGCTTACGAACTAGTCCTGGGACAAATTTCTGAGTGATTTTTAGCAGTGACAGTTGCCTGGGTTCCCCAGTTGACTCTTCCAAAGAAGCGAGACATGACCGACACACACACAAAAAGATGCCCCACATAACTAGCCGTTAGGGAGATGCACAATGAGACACTGCCTCGCACCCAGTGGGACGGCTTTCATTAGCACATATGCAGTGTCCACGAAGTCAGCCTCATCACCGTCTCATTCGTAAAGAAAGGCTTGCTAAATTTTAAAACAGAGACGCAAAAGGGAGGAAGTGCTTGTGAAAGGATGAACACACTGGAAGCCCAGTGGCCCCAGGAAAACATGGAAAGCATGACTGGAAGTCCTTGAAGATCATGTCACGTTTCTATACCAGGTGCTGAGTCAGAATATCATGTAAGAAATGGTTATTTTCTAAAACATGCTAAGAAGGTAAGCAGTAAGTGCTGATCGTCACAGAGAGAAAAAACATTTAGTAATAGGTAGCACAATTTGTTTTGGGTTTGTTTTATTTGTTTACTTTTTAATAAACGGTATTGGGGTTTGAACTCAGGGTCTCATGCTTGCTAGGTAGGCTCTCTATCAATTGAGCCACTCCACCAGCTCACAATTCTTTTTATCTGTTTCAACAACAATCTTCTATTTCTCATTCAAAACCCGATAGCATCTCCTATCGTGATAAGAGTGAGCTGCTATGTTGCACAGGACAACCCTTAGAATCTAGACAGAAATAAGTCAGCAAACAAAACAAAACAAGTGTTTTTAATTGTGCATGGTGGCTCATGCCTGTAATCCCAGCTACTTGGGAGGCATAGATAGGAGGATCATAGTCCACACCAGCCCAGGTTAGCAAGACTCCGTCTGAAAATAACTACAGCAAAAAGGGCTGGGGGCATGTCTCAAGTGGTAAAGCACTTGCCTAGTGTGCACAAGCCCTGAGTTCAAACCCCAATACTGAGCATTTCATATTCTAAGAAGAGAATTCTGAGATGCCCTAAATTTCATTGCAAGGGCCCAAGGGTCGAGGTGTTAGGAGAGAAAGAAAGTTGATCAGTTTCGGCTAAGGCTGGATCTGAATCTATGTAGACTGCTGTCCTACCCCAAGCTTTCCCTACTTCCTGTCATCTGGGCCCTCCTAGCAATGATTGATGTAGGCCTGACATGAACAAGTTGCACTCTCCTCCCCTCGTTTATAAAAACACCCTCAGCTCCAGGTCTAGCAGCACATTTCCAATCTCCCCTCGCCTAGCTGTAGCTGGGCGAGTGGCCCAGGACCTCTCCTTTCTGGCTGCCATCTGTAATGGTTCAACAAGCTTGAATTTCAGAGATCCCTTCCTCTGAAGAGTTTTGCTTCAGCCAGGCATGGTGGCACACACCTGGAGTATCAGCATTCAGGAGGCTGAGGTGGGAAGATCACGAGTTCAAAGCCAGCCTGGGCTACATGGGAAGAACTTCAAAAATGATGACAATTACAATGACAATGATGATAATAAACAAAAACAACCCAATTAAAAATGAGCAAATAATTCAAATAGACATTTCTCCAAAGAGGAGAGAAATGACCGACATACACATAAAAAGATGCCTCACATAACTAGTTGTTAGGGAGATGCACGATGAGACATTGCCTCGCACCCACTGGGGTGACTACGGACAAAAAAAAGTAGGCTCACACCTACTTGGTAGGCTGAGACCAGGAGGATGGAAGTCTCAGGCCAACTCAGACAAATAGTTCACAAGACCCCTATCTCAAAACTATCCAGAGCAAAATGGACTGGAGGTGTGGCTCTACCAATAGAGCACCTGCTTTGCAAGCATGAAGTCCTGAATTCAAACCCCAGTTCCACAAATAAATAAATAAATAGATAGAACAGGGAATAGGGATATAGGTCAATGGTAGCATGCTTGCTTGATGTGTGAGGCTATGGGTTCAATCCCCACACCCCAAGACAGTAGGATTAGAAGAGAAAAGCAGCCTCCAAATAAGACTACTCCAGCCACAAAGTTAGAGAAACAGCCAAGACAAAGTAGTCAGCCAAATAGCATTGTTTCTTATCTTTTATACCACGTTAGTATAATTTGTTTTATCTCAGGATTGTGGGAAGAATGATAAATTCCTTTTATAGAAAGAAAAACTGAGATGCATGTCTCACAACCTAGTTAGAGTCGATCCTTCAGTGTGTTGAACTCATATTTTTGAAGGCAGGTCTCTTTTAGCACAAAGTGCACATGTTGCATGGTTCTGTGTGAATGAAGTAACTAAAATAGCCTAATTCACCAGCACTATGGCAGAGCCAGCAGCTGAAGGAAGAGGGCAATGAGAATTGTGCTTAGTGCTACCAAGCTTCAGTCTAAGATGAGTAAGTTCTGGGATGGATGGTGGTGATAGTTGCACGACAATGTACAAATGTCCTTAAGACACTGCTCTATACTCTACAAAATAGTTAAAATGGTAAATATTAATTATGTTTCTTTTACCACAATATTTTTTTAGCTAACAAGAAACAAGAAAAAATACTCTTAACAGCTCCACCAACAGTTGTGTTAGCAAAAAATTCTTCCCAATTACCTAATATTACTTGCCATCTTCATTTGTCAAGAGCAAATGAAATTGCTTGCAGTTATACTGATTGAATCTGAAGTAGTTAAAAGTATTAACTTTGGTGCACTAATAAATTAATTTTCAGAAAAGCAAGTGAAAAAAATCTTATGATCAAGCAAGATATCATATATTAATAAAGTATTATGCATTATGTAAAATTATGACATCAAAATTGGAGGTATGGGAAGGGCAGTGGCTCACGCCTATAATTCCAGATACTCTAGAGGTAGAGATTGGGAGGATTGCAGTTCAAGGCCAGCAAGGGCAAAGAGTTGTCAAGACCTCATCTCAACCAACAAGCTGTGCATGGCAGTGCATGATGTGGTTCCAGCTATGTGGCAGGCATAAGAAGGAAGATTGCAGTCTGAGGGCAGCCCTGGACAAAGTACACAAAAAGGCTGGGAGCATGGCTCGAGTGGCAGAGTTCTTGCCTAGCAAGTGTGGGGTCTGGAGTTCAAACTCTTATACCACCAACAATATTTAAAAATTCATATTATTACCAGTGTATCACTACTATCCTTATTATTTCTTATAACTAAGACATTTTCAAAGAAAAAACCTTTATGGTATCTTTAATGGCACTTTTCCCTGGCTTTTTTTCTTTTTTTTTGGCATGGTGCTGGGGATGGAACCCAGGCCCTTGGACATGGCAGGCAAGCGCTCTACCACTGAGCAACAGTCCCAGCTTTCCCTGCTCTCTGAAAAAGAGCCCTGCAGTTTTGACTGTGCCTTAAATGATGTAGCTGGCCCTGTTCCAGCTTCACCACTGGCAGTCTGCCCAGTGTTAAATGCTTTGAGCAGAGCATTTAACCTCTGTGTCTGGGTTCTCACCTCTCAAATGGGAACCATATTTACCCCACTTCATGGAATTGATGTGATGTGAGTGTGTGAGTTCCTGTGTGTGGAAGAGAGAGATGTGAAAAAGTGCAGGTTCTTTAAAATATTTGGTGGTACTGTTACCAATTTTTCCTTTTAATTGGCACATAATAATTGTACATATAATGAGAATTTTTTTAACCACTACCCTTCCTGGAGTCTTCAGACAAATGCATTTATGTAAGATGAAGAGATTTAATTCATTTATTATTTTCTAGGGGGCTTTTCATACTTTGAGAAAGAAGCTAAATGATTCGTTTGGTCCATAAACGTATCATTTTCACAGACTAATAATATTACAGATAGTATTTCTTCACACGACTAAGTGCCAGCTATAAACTGAAAATTATGCCAAAACACTGGACCCCAGTCAACCATCTTAAAAGCCTGAGTCTTGGCCTTGGGAATAAACTCTCCATCTTTAAGTAGCAAAGAAAAGATGGGCAACAGCAGAGCTGAGTACCCCCTCCCACCCTCCAGGAATAGTCCAGATTAGGATCTGAGATCTCAAACTGCTTATATACAGAGGCTCCTATAAATGGAGGCCTGAGGGCCCAGCACTGGCAAGGGCTACACTTAGGGCCTCTGCCAGGTGAGGATCCTCTCACCTGAGGCTCAGAGCCCCGCAGCATCAAGGCAGAAGCTGGGCCTCAGCTCTGAGCTCCTACCTCACACACACCTAAGGGCATATGCCTTCTGCTGGTGAAGGCGACCCTGCTAACCAGTCTGTCCCTTTACCGGCCTTCCCCAGCCTCCCAGAGACCACGTGTAGGGGACTGGCTCCCAGGTGTGGCTAGGACCCCGGACAAGATCCTGTGTCAAGACTCTGGCACAAACGTTGGGGCGACATCCCGAGGGCTCCCTGCTCCTAGGAGCCAGCATCTCCCCCTCCAGGGCTGGGGACAGGGAAGTCCCCTGGGCCGGCCACCCCCAGGCGGCCCTCCCACTGCCTCACCTTTGCCCTCTTTCTAATTGCCCTGATCTCATCCCAGCCTCCCTAGCGATGTTTAAAGTCCACCTCTGGGGAACACAGACAGAGTGTGCCCGATAATCACGCTCCTGGTCCTGCCCCACATCCCGTGGTGGGCTGTGCTGTGTCCCTGGATTTCCTGGGACACTGGCTGGGGTCTGAGAACAGAACCCGTGGTGCCCACCTGTGTACAGGATGAAGCTGGCAACCGGCCCGTGGCTTTTGTGGCTGAGCCTGGGGGGTGTCCTGGCTCTGGGCGACCCCAGCCCCAAGGCAGAGGAGTCCTACTCGGACTGGGGCCTGCGACACATCCGGGGCAGCTTCGAGTCGGTCAATAGCTACTTCGATTCCTTCCTGGAGCTGCTGGGAGGGAAGAACGGAATCTGCCAGTACCGGTGCCGGTTCGGTAAGTGTCGTACCTGTCTCCTGTGTCACCCCTCCCCGCCCTTGGCAGACCTGCCAGGTTCAGGGCCCACAGCGACCCTGAGCAACTAGGTTGTTACCGTATGTCCGATGACATGTTGGGGATCTGGTTATCTGACACACGCCTTGCTGAACCTGATGAAAACCTCCCCTGGGGCCACTTTTTGGGGTTTGGTGGAAGGTCCTTAAGCAGAGTGGGGATCTAGGGTGTGGGGGTCCCCTAGGGAACCCCGAAGCTGATGGTTCAGAGGAAATTCTGCCAGAGTGAGGGGCTCTGAGCTCAGCTGGGAAAGACACCTTTGGCTCGCCGGGCAGAGTTCCAGGCACTGTCCTCTCGCCAGGCGCCAGAGGCAGCGTTGGGAAGTGGCATGGGCACCAAGCCCCACCTTGCCACGGTGCACCTGGGGCCAGTTCCTCCTCTTCTCCCCCTTCCCACTCCTAGCATGGTGTCATTTCACCTGCAGATGAACACTTTTTTCTTTTACTTTTTTAATGTGGCAGTGAAAGGGGGGAAGTTTTGAACCCAGGCCGTGGGCATGCCCAGCGCGCTCTACCACTGAGCTGCACCCCAGCCCCACGCTATGTCTTTCCAAGCTACACTTTCATTAGTCTGATGGCCAATTATCCAAAGTCCTCGCATGGGGTCAGAGCTGGGCCAGGCCCTTAGCCTCACAGGAAGACGTACTTGAGAAATACTTTCTCCAGACGCCCAAGAGAACCCAGCTTTCCAGAAGGACCCCAAGACCTGAGTACTTGTTGGAGTCACTCTAGGTCTTTGTCTCCTCATCATGGGCAATGGTAATGGCTTCCTTAGACACTAAGTGACCAGGAGATAATGGCTGAACACTGCTGTACAATCCAAGGTTTGCCTCAGGAAGAGTAAGCATGAATGGTGAGGCGAGGCCATTGCTCCCTGTGAAAACCTCCCAGGTCAAAGCTGGACCCCCAAGCCGCGGATCTGTGCAAGATGAACTGGAAAAAACAGCAGAGGCCTCGTCCCACCCGAGGCAGGAAAGGGTTAACTCGCTTCGGAGGTAGAATCAATCCAGGGGTTTTCACTAATACCTGGAGCAACAAACACCTAACAGCAGGAGACCTTTTTAGGGTATTAAAACCAAACCCTCCTCTTCCTTCTCTAGCAAAACGGCATCCAAAGAGCTCAGTATGTTTGGCTGGCAGGGCCCTCGGTGGGGCAGGGCGGATGTCCCCAGCAACTGGTGGGGGATGGGAACAGTCAACAGCACAGAAGGCAAAACACTCTGCTCGAGGAGGGGGTCTCACAAACACAGGAAAATAAGGGGTTCAGCCGAGTCACCTTTGGAACCCTGTGGGGCTGAACCCAGGGCAGTGCTCAAGTTGCTCGTGAACAAGCCATCTTTCCAACAGATCACACCTAATCACTAACCGTCTTCGCGACCCGTTTCAGTCTGCTTTGTGATTTACCTCTCACGCACAAGGCCTCGCTCCTCTCTTCAAAGCAGTGCTTCTCAAACTCCTTTGGACACCCCGCCCTTGGCGGCTTAAACGGTTGCTGGCCCACCCCAGCGTTTCTGATTGGTAGGTCTGGGGTCAGTAATTTGCATTTCTACTGATTTGCATATCACCTGGTCTTGATGCTGTGGGTTCACGCGAAGAAAAACAAAAACCTGCTTTAAAAACTGCCATCTTGCCAGTTTCGCAAACAGTCTACAAGAAAAGTAGACGTTTCTTGGTAGGTAGTGGCTAAAGCATTGGTGGTCTACCTTGGCTAGGCATTAGAATCACGTAGGGACACAGCCTGCCACTGAGCTACACCCCCCCACACACTCCCAGTCCCCCGCAGCTGCACTTTTAACAGGTGGTCCTTAACCCGGACTTTGAGAAATCCTCATAATGGCAAACTCGTGGGTTTGAATTTTCGGTGGAAATCCCATTGGTGGTGAATTTGGGCAAGTTAACTAAGCCTTGATTGCCTCCTAACTGTATTCAGGTTCTTCTAGATGTCTTGCAACATTAAGTTAAAAAAAAAAAAAAAATCCCAGTGGCTAGACACCACCCTCTCGCTCTCAACTTCTAGAGGAAATGCCTGAAGCAATGTGGATTGCCTAAGAAGGTCTCTGGAGGAAGGTCACTGGGGCAGTTTCTGGGCCTTGTAACTACTGTCCACAGAACTTAATAAAAAGACCTCGAGATAAATTCCTTCCTAGGTTTAGTTTCTAGGGGAAAAAAAAGACACTTTTTTTTTTTTCTTAAAAGTGTCTGTAAGAGCCGGGCAGGGTGGTACACCTGTGATCCCAGGTACTCAGTAGGAGGCTGAGGCAGCAGGATGGAGAGTTCCAGGCCAGCCAGGAAGAGACCCTCCCATCTCAAAAAACAAAAAAAGTGTTCTCAAGTATCAATCTTTAAAAGGTTTTTACATTGAAAAATAATCACACTGTGTATTTGTGAGGTTTCGATCTGTGTATACATTATAGAAAGATTCTTTTAACAGTTTTGAAGTACACAACACATTACTAGCTGTGGTCATCATGCAGTATAACAGATCACTACTAATTATTCCTCCTGTCTAAATGGGACTTTGTACCCTCTGGTCACCATCTCCGTTTGCTCACTTCCTCTGCCTCTTCCAGCCTCTGACTTATACTTTTCTACTCTCTATTTCTACACAAATGACTTTTTTAAAAGGCTCCACACATAAGTGAGGTCACATAGCATTTGTCTTTCTGACTTGTTCCAGTGTAAAGTCCTCCAGCTCTACCTATAATATCAAGAAGTTCAGACTTCCTTCTCGGCGAGACTGCATAGAATTCTATTGTGTATGTCACGTTTTCTTTATCTTCTTATGCTGATGGATAAGAAGATCGATTCCTTGCCTAGGCTATTGTGAATCATGCTGCAATGAGCATGGAGTATGGATGTCTTTCGATAGGCTAAATTTACTCCCCTTGCATATATACCAGTATCGGATTGCCCGATCGTATAGTAATTCTATTTTTAGTTTTTTGAGAAGCCACCAGAATGTTTTCCAAGATGACTGTACTAATTTATATTCCCATCTGCAGTGTACAGGGCCAGCATTTGTTGTCAGCGCTATACTTGATAACAGTCATTCTGCAATAATGTTGACATTTCATTGTGGTTTTAATTCGTATTTCTCTGGTAGCAAGAGGTGCTGGGCACTTCCCCTGTATCTGTAGCCCATTCACAGGTCGTCTTCTGAGAAATGTGTATTCAGACTTTTGCCATTTCTAAGTCAGGTTATGTTTTCCTGCTAATGAGTTATTTTTCATCTATTTACACATTTTGGGTATTAGCTCCTTATCAGATGGCTGGTGGGAAATATTTCATCCCCATCGTGGATTATCTATTAATTGTTCCCTTTGCTGTTTAGAAGCTTTTTAATTTGGTGCAAACTCACCATTTTGTTTTGTTTTGGAGAGACCTTTGTATCTGTCTGAAACCTTACAGCAAAATTTTACCAACCTACGAGTGTCTATTTTTCCAACCTTTATCAGATTCTCAAGAGAATTTAGAGCCTCAAAAAAAAAAAAAATGCCCACTGGCTTGGAGGGGAGTAGATAGTCCCTGTGCCAGGTGGCCAGCCTCCCAGTTTGCTGAGGACAGAGGGGATTCCCGGGATTTGGGACTTGTGTTATAAAACAGGGCACAGTCCCAGGGGAACCAGGATAGGTGGCTCACTGGCTCACCCTACTTCACGTAGCAACTTAGTCTATTTTAGTGCTTGAGGCACAGAGCCCACTGCTCTGGAAAGTTGGCACCAACCTGCACTGCTCCTCAGGGGTTTCTAGAGGTAGGCAGAGGTCCGTTTCACATAAGGGGAACTTCATCTTCCAGGGGAACCAATGAGATGGGGGGACTGAATGCCTTAGGGAAGACAAAACCCTTGACCTGGGACCTAAAGTCCCAAGAGTTTCCCATTCTTTTCAGTGACAAACCACAGAGAGAGAAGAGCCTGGTCCAGGGTGCTGTAGACATGGCTGGTTTCATGGCTAACTCTTCCAATAAACACCCTCCTGTTTGTCTGCAAGTGTTGTAGGGCATTTCACTTGATTCAGAAGGTTTTAACTTTTATGAGATTGAATCAGTCTCTTTCTTTATGACTTCTGAATTTTATCTTTTTTTTTTTTTCTGGTACTGGGGCTTAAACTCAGGGCCTTCACCTTGAACCACTCCACCAGCCCTATTTTTGTGAAGGGTTTTTTTGAGATAGGTGCTCATGGAATTATTTGCCTGGGCTGGCTTTGAACCAAGATCCTCCTGATCTTTGCCTCCTGAGTAGCTAGAATTACAGGCGTGAGCCACTGGCGCCCAGCTGAATTTAATGTTTTGATTAGGAAACCATCCTCACGTCAAGATTGTGACAATATTCTGTGATTTTCTTCTGTGAAAGCAGTCATAGTTAATGCATGATAAATCAGCATGGCTGGGTTCCAATATAACCTCTTTATGGGCACTAAAATTTGAATTTCATATAATTTCCACATGTCATAAAAACCATCCTTGTTTTGACGTTGTCCCAAACCATTAGAAATATAAACCCCATGTTTAGCTGGCAGGCTACCCAGAGGAGGCAATAGGCTGGGCTGAGCCACACAGTTCGCCAGCCTGGCACCTTGCTCTCTAAGCAGCTCAGGCTAAGAACGAAGCACATTGTGGACGCCTTGGCCCCAAGTGTCAAACCTGAAGCTGTAACTTGAGGATGTGGTCATCATATCTGATAGACTCCAACCAGTACCTTCTTTGGTGGAACTTACCTGTCAAGCTTCACTCCGAAACAGATTTCTCCAGTTACCATAAAACATATGTACAATAAAAGTCACCTCCACCACGGACAGGCCAGCCAGACAGGAATTTCATTCCATTATCTTTCAAACTGTGATATCAGACTTTATTTTTTAGGAGTTCTTAAGTGCAAAAAGGTAGAGGGTGACCCAGGAAGCTGCTCAAGTCTGTTGTGAATGTCTTTACCTGCAAAGCCATGCA